ATAGGCTTCCAGTGAAAACTAGATGTATGAGTGCTCATTGCAAGGCAGCCTACATTACACGATATACGCCATAGTCTGTACGGGGTATAATATGCAGGAAATTTTTCGCTTTGCTCTTGTGAGATAGACAGAAGATTGATGAAGATTTCAAAGATTTTTGCAAAAAGGTGGTCAACAATGTGAGTAGATTGATTTAGATGCAAGAGCTGAACAAAGATTTTTCGTAGATTTATTCGCTGGTGTAAGATTTTTTAAGCATCTAAATATGGGGTTTAAATAGATGTTTCGCACCCCTAGCGAGGAAATTACCGAGGAAATTACATAGTTATAACTAGGGTATTTGCACCAGTTTTGGCCAATGTTTCCTATTTTAGTAATTCCTCAAAAAGAAAAAAATGAATAAATCACAATCTACTTGCGTTCAGTGTTGGAAAAGTTCGCGATATTTCACGAAGTTCTCCAAGGGAAAAGTTCGCGAGTCATAGTGATTTTTTGCGAACTTTTCCATCACTGCTTGCGTTTTTCGTTGACCCAAAGAACCCCAAAGAATATGATTTGAATCAACCATTTTAACACCACTCCAGATTTCAAACATGCAAACAACGTAGATATTCGTCAAAAACTTGGCCAAAATAAGTGCCTTTCCCCTAAGTGGTTAAAAATAATTAAAATTAGCGTTCTCATCTGGCCTATCTGGCTACTGTCTTAACGGATTTCCCGATTCGAAGTTAAAGACTGTATTCGATAAAATTTGGACACACTCCGCTATTCGTAACTTTTAAGCATAATTGATTTTTTTTTGTCTCAGACGTCATTTCGATCAGAAATGCCGTTTTCGTGCTACAATTTTTTGGAAATTTTTAAACGCACCATTTTGAAAATTTTACATGACCCAAAATTATTTTAGCAAAAATGTCAATGATTACCCATTACAAGCAATTATGCAAAGTTTCATGCAATTCGGAGAAGGTCAAGTTTTTCAGCGGCACCGGTGGTGTAGTGGTTAGCGTGACTGCCTCTCACTCCAAAGGGCCTGGGTTTAATACCATTGGGTGCCGGCTGATTACGGCAAGTAAATTTTTTGGTCCCCGGTCCATGAGTTGATGAGTCGATAAGTAGGGTCCAGGTGTGGGAGCTGCTTCCTTGCCTCCGGAAAACAAAATCGACGGATCGTGCCGTGGAAGTGCTCTCTTGAGAGTTTTACCTTAGAGGTAACTCTAAGACCAGAAGGTCCCGAAGCAACGTGCACAACTTTTTGGCTCAGCTCCTCTGGTACTATCTTCGGTCTCAAGCTAATCGATGCACCCCTCAAAACATAGGAAAATCCACGAACCCCTCATTTTATCTGTCAAACTTCCATAGCAAATCAAAACAAACATAGTGTAGTACTAGAATTTAGACTAGAATGGGTACGCTTATAGATGTACTTGGCACCAATAGGCTAGTCAAGTAGTGAGCCAATTTTAAATCGTTAGTTTCCAACCGGTTTTTTAACCCAGTGAACATCCTCAGGGGTTCTGAGGATCTTCTATGAGTTTATGCCAGAAGTCCTGTAGACCCAGAAGGCCTATAAAGACTTATAGCAGAAGATCTGCGGATATCTACCAGAAGTGCTGTGGACTACTCCCAGTAGCTGTGCACGTTTCTCACAATCCTACGGACTTCATTCCGAAGTAGTGAGAGCTTATCTCAGAAGACTTATGCCTTTCTCACATAAGTCATATGGACTTCCCTCAGAAGTCCTGTGGACTTTCCCTTAGAAGTCCTGAGGACTTTAGACAGAACCTCTTTGAACTTTTCGCAGAAGCTCTTTGGGCTTCTTCCAGAATTCCTACACCCAACCGGGAAATGTAAGATGTTATTACTGATTTGCATGAAAAGTATGCAGAATTTGCTATGTTTTGCAAAATAATCAGATTCTGTAATGCGGTCGCCAGAAGATTCCTTGAATAATATTGTAATTTTTATGTTTGCTTCATTTTCGAATATTGCGCCTGGAAAATCATCTCGTGAAGGTTTTATACAAAAATATGCTTTCTGAAGAAAATTTTCTTGTACGCTGCAGTCCATTGCAAGAACTGCCATTAAATTTGTTGTATGAAATATATGCAAAGGATGTAATAAATCCAACCTTACATTGGATGTAAAAGAAATTTGTTTTTCGTGTCTGCACCTTCCCGGGAAGCCGTATAGCCTTCCACTAAAAGTTTTGAGATCTTCCCCAAAAATCCTGAATTCTTCCCATCAAGGGCCCTATGAAAATTCTCTAAAAATCACTGTACCCGGAAGTCTTGTGTGCTTCTTCATAAATTGTATATTTTCCTCCAGAAGACCTAAAGTAGGTTCCCAAAGCGTCCTGACTAGTGAGGTTCATTTGAACGAGTCGGTTTGGCTTCCGAAGTGAATCGAGGTGCCCCAGACGCTTGATTCAACATTTTAAAACAAAATTGCTCAGCGTTCTGTGTGTGGAGGCTAATTTGAACTAGTCAGTTTCACCTTCGTAAGTCTGTCTTCAAGTAATACAAAGCTTGGCAGAACAAAAGGGATACTACCATAGAGGTAACTCAAAGACTAGAAGGTCCCGAAATAACGTGCTCAACTTTTTGGCACAGCTCTGGTACTCTCTTCGGTCCCAAGCTAATCGATTCACCCCTCGAAACATAGGAAAAACCAATAACCCCTCATTTTATCTGTCAAACTTTCATAGCGAATCAAAACAAACATAGTGTAGTACTAGAATTTCGACAAGAATGGGGTACGTTAATCGTTTGATTGGGACCAATAGGCTAGTCAAGTAGTGAGCCAATTTCAAATCGATAGTTTCGTATTGATTGTTGATACTACCGTAAGCTGCGATCTGAACTTTGAGATTTCACGGAACCCATGATTACAGCAATCTGTCTCAAATTCAAAAACATAACTTGCTTCAAGTCTTAACGTTTGTCCCAATATTGGAGTATAGAATGATGCTTGATCGCATAGCTCCAACTCCAGGATAGTTAGAAATTTAAACCCTAAAGCTATTCAACCAACGTCATCCCGCAACACACAATGCACTATTGACCTTCGTATCCTATTACTGCGCGGCTTGCAACGACTTCTTTATGATAAATGCATTTGCAAAATTGCAATTTGAAACTTGATTCCATTCGAGTGCGAGCACACTTGACGCACTTTGGCTCTGGCTCTGGCCACGGACGACGGACATCAGTATGTAAATTATGTCCATCAGCCGAGCTCAGCTGGCTCGGCAAACTGCCATGCACTTGAGCGCCAAGTAATACAAAACTACTTTATAGAGTAGATTTACTCAAGGCCACACCTCCCTCAATCGCCGTTCCCGTTTCGTTGCTGCAGTTAGCAAATTGTAATTGATGTGGAGAAAAACGATCAAAAATGCAAATATTGGCTCTGTGTATTAATATCTTCTTCCGTAGGGTGGCGCGCTACGTCGTCCCATTTTGATCAGTTTTAATCTTTTAGCACTCCGAACACGATGCCTCCGGTAAAATGTGTAACGGCAATCATAGATCCGTCATTTATTGACGAATTTCAAATCTATTGGTGCCATTTGAAGCCACAGACTTTAAATATTTTTTTCAGCAGCAATAGATTTTAAAATCTATTGATAAATTGCTGCGGAATGACTTTTCAAAACATTGCCAATTTTCCGTTACACATTTTACCGGAGGCATCAATTTCGGAGTGCTAATGGATGGTGTAAGTATGAGTGAGTCGAATTCAGTAGGTAATTTTCAAAATCTTCTCTATTTTTGACGACCGACAGTAGCAACCACCCTATTTCCTCCTTTTCACAACAAGTTAATAGGCGATGAAATTTATAGCACGCAAATATTTATGCAAAGCATCGCGGGTTGGTGCTTGGATCGAGTTGGGCATGGCGCTCGTTGTCGATTTCGCGTGTCAGTTATTAGCGGTTCGATTTTTGGTCGCAATCCAATTGACAGTGGCCGTAATCGATGCCGGCGGACGATTTGGTTCGGAAACACCTAATAATTTGTGGTAATTATTGCTTAAACACGACTTTGGATGGATAAGTGAGGAGTTAAAAAAGAAAGGAGCGTTTTATTTACAGCGGTACCATATAGAGTAAGTATTTTGGTACCGTTTGTGTGGTCTTATCGACAAGCCTAATTAGAATCAATAGAACACAGCAAGTTGTCGTTCTCGCAGGAAACTATTAAGAATCCATTAATTGACCAACCAACCGGCACCCTTTCAGCTGCAGCAGCCTCTCCGTGACGATGAACGCTAATTAGAATGCATCCCGCGCTTGTCACGCCAATAGATAGAGAGGCTTTAAACTGGAAGCTGCAGCCTCAGACTGATGAAATGAACATTCATATTCAGCACCAGGGTGACTAACGGCAGCATTATTTATGACTTTTATTAACCGGAATGCCACCAACAAGCGCGCTAAGCGAAAGATTAATTGAAACTAATTAAACCTCAGTCCCGGTCGGACAGAGGTCATCTGCCTCTTCCTACCATGAAGAGGCATCCGTTAAATTGTTTAGCCCAAACCAGCTGAAACTGGATCCATCGACAACATGTGGGATAGGTTTTGGGAAGGTTAATAAATTCAATTAACACTTCCAACCAGTGCGTGACGCTGCTGACACATCCCAGCAATCAATTCAACACGTGCCGCTGTGAAGAGAAATTGAGATTGCCCTTGAAAATTACTGGTCATGCTTCGTGTATGACGGTGCTTATTGTAAATATCAAAGCTATTCACACCATCGTAAATCGATTATTCTGCAAATCACACGATACCAGCCGGTAGCCAAAAATTGCCGTCTTTTTCGGATCACATGTCCAAAGAGTGATCGACTGATTACAAGTCAGCCATCAATCAGGAAATACGAGATCCAATATAAGTAATAAACCAGCATGCTTCTAGATAGCCAGCAAAGGCAATCAAAGACTTAAGGCACCCATTTTACTCGAAATGAGATAACATTCATACTGCCGCGTACCTTGCTCCGCTGTGAGATAGAAGCCGGAATCGGTGACGTTGCTGTTGCTACTGTTAAGACTCGGAGTAACGGATACATTCTGCGAAGTTTCTGGAAGGGCCAGTTGTGGCAAAACTGGTGAAGTCCAACCAAGGGCGGTTCCTGCACTGATGGCGGCGATTGATACTAAAAAATAATGGGGAAATTTTTAGAGTTTCTCTGGAACAAATTACGATTTTGAAGTTCAATTACCTCCAACGCCGGCTACAAACTGCATCAATTTACTGTTGGAGGCCTGACCCTCCGGGGGATCGTACAGCATGGGGTTCGTGACCCCCGGTCCATTGTTACTCATGATTTATTGAGATCTGCAAAGAAATGGAAGAAGTAAGCTACAGTTTAGTTACAGCGGTACATCAACGGCGGCACTTTGCTTCCAAGTGCGAAGGTAAACTGCCCTTGTGTTCCGACACTATGTGTTTGACTTCCATTACTTTCCATTAGCATTGTTTGCATTGAGGAAAATAAACAACCTGACCTGATCCAAAGTAGAGTGAGCCACACCCACCTCGCGAGCGCGCGTAGAAGAATCGCGCGGCACTATCAAATTCCTCAAATTATTTACCTTCCTTCGGCTTAAGGTGAGGTGGGGAGTGCGAAAAAATCGTACCGCATCATAGCAGGCCGTGTCGCATTTTTTCATGCTTTTGTATGCAAATAACGGCTTCGTGTCGTCGTCGTTGTCGTCTTGATCCAAGTAGGCGAAGAAGCAGTGAGGCAGTTTATTTTTAACCGATTATTTTGAGGACGTGAAAACCCGTAACTGTTTTATAATAGTTTCAGACACACACAAAAAAAAAACTTTAACCCGACATTGTCAACCCGATCAAGAAGCAGTGCACGCTTGGGAAGGGTATGGTGTGCGATACCGGTATGATCGGTAGCGGCGATATTATGTAAATTAAGTTAGCATTTTCAGTGATATAGTTTACCGGCTGTTGGGCGCGCACGATTTCTACTGTTTTAATCCATTTGTTTTTGTTTTTTTGTGTCACATTATGCGGTCAACGGCTTTCGATCGTAAAATTGGCCTGTTGACTTCGGAAGAAAAGGTGTGGCGCTCAATTAAAACGTGGTATATATTTTATAAAGATTGTTACAGCGGTGCAATCACTTAAACAATGGTTACTAAATCTGCCATTGACGTTAGTTGAAACTAGACTGCTGAATCATTTTTAGGATGTAATCGGTTTAAGTGACGAAGTATCTCCAAGATCCTTCGAGTATGGACCAAAAGCACTTCCAAATATCAAGTCTTAGAAGGCATACCATTGTCGTACAACCAATCAATCGAAAACCCAAGTAACATTTCTGGTTTTCTGAGGGTTTTGTAGATCATGATTTAGACTTGTAGAATGCTTTAAGGTAATTCTTTTAAGAGTCCAGTAATGGCCGTCATGATGACTGATATGCCCAATCATTTCAAGTTTTCAAATGCACAAATCACTGCACACTGGGCAAAAATTTACAAAACCGCGACTAAATTGAATATCTCGGCTACCAAATCGTTTCAGTCAACATGTTATACATATTCTCAAAGGAAAAATTTTGCTGAATCGATTGGTGGTTGGTCTCATTGGTCGGAGAATTGCGTACCGAGATAGAGAGCCGGGATCAACCCGAGTTCCCGGTAAAGTAGGAAATGCCACTATCTATCGACATAATTTTACACTTTACTTAACGTATATTACTGTAAATTGATAGTGCCAAGTATATATGGTGTAAAGACACCTTATGAAATAACAACTCCCTGTTTGCTGCACTGCAGCAAACGTGGAGTTCCAGTTTCATTGCAGTATTTTTTGTGAGAGCGATTTGTGCTCTTGAAATATCTTGGTATTAATGAGATAAATCAGAAATAAGGTTTCCACAATTCAGCGTAGTAATGACTGCCTCTCACTCCAAAGGGCCTGGGTTCAATTCCAGGTGACGTCGCTGGGATTTTCTGAGACATACAAGCTCTGATCACGGCATCCTTCGGAAGGGAAGTAAAGCCGTTGGTCCCCGGTTCATGAGTTGATGGGTCGATAGGTAGGGTCTAGGTGTAGGGCTGGTGTGGGCATTGATACTCAGTACGGAAAACAAGATCGACGGAAAACAAATCAAGAAAACAAAAGGTTTCCACAACGATTTACCTTAAACGCTCAACGTTGCTTGGGAAGAGCCCATCATATTTAGGAAGCAAAAACACCCATCTATTGCTAATTGGAGAATTTCCCCAACCCGGTAGAGTTGTTAGTTTGCATAGGCGAGCTCCGGGGTCTATTATCGCCATCATATGACTATAGGTGACACACTAGAGCCCACAACAAGCCGCACTCCTAGAGACAAGATTCAGTCCTTTCAAAATTGATTCCTGGTCGGTCAAAAATACGTCTGGTACAATAGTAGGTTTACTTGAAAATTTTCCATCTATCAAAATAAAGTGAAAATTTACCAAGTGGAACACAGCCTCAACTTAGCTGAAAATAAAGACAACCTTATAAGAAATAAACCAACTACCTACATCAATTTGAATGTTATGACATCGCAACATACTCTTAATCAAAGGAACCGCTGAGTATCGAAGTCATATTGTTTCCCGTACTGAGTACCAATGCTACTCCTACACCTGAACCCTACCTACCGACCTTTCAACTCATCGACCGGGGACCAACGGCTTTACTTCCCTTCCGAAGGAAGGCGTGATCAGAGATTTTATGCCTCAGAAAATCCCAACGACGGGATGAGAGACAATCACCCTTATCACTAAACCACTGGCACCGCTGCTTGTGGTGTTGTCAAAATGAAGTTTTGTTTTCATCTTGGTGGGGATGATTTTGAGGGTCAAACAAGGGGTTGGTCACTCCGCACAGTGTGCCAAAAACAGATTTGGGCACACCTGGGCTCATTCATTGGCACAGTTTGGCACCCATGCTTAGGTTTTATATGATTTTTAATGTAACTGGCAACACTGCAGTATATCTGCGCATGTGCAGTGCGTATGTGTCAAAATTTAACTGTTGTTATCACAATACAACTTTTGGAAACTGTAGTTGATGAAGTTAGTGTGGAATGAGTAGAATCGAGTGAGCGTGAAGCGTCTGTCGTATGTAAACTGAATATCATTGGTTCGAGAATTTTGATAAGATCACAGGTATAAATATGAGGTACCTAAGCTCGTTGGAGAAGACAGATGTTAAGAAGGAACAGCAGCAACAATAGCAGCAGGATTGGAAGCAGCCGCAGCCATGGGAGATGCACCATTAATTCGTGTAGCCGTGGCCGAGACTGGAAACCTCGGTCCGGTCACGACAATGGCGCAGTTGGTACGATAGAGTAAGTATAGTGGAATGACTGAAGAATTGAAGAATTTTTTTTGAAAAATAATTGCCATGACCTGATGGATGGTAGATAGAATTACCATAACCTGATGGATGGTAAATAAGAATTGCCATGATGAATGAAGAAATTTTTTAATATGATTTCCATGACCTGATGGATGGTAGAGTATGCAAACAAAATTGTTAGAATTACCTGATGGATGGTAGACAGAATTACCAACAATCAATACGCAACTAACGATTTTAAATTGGCTCACTACTTGACTAGCCTATTGGTCCCAAGCAAACGATTAACGTACCCCATTCTAGTCGAAATTCTAGTACTACACAATGTTTGTTTTGATTCGCTATGAAAGTTTGACAGATAAAATGAGGGGCTAGTGGATTTTCCTATAGACCTTTTTGACGTTTAATAGTCTTTCTCTATCCAGCACACATGAATGAATGAACGGTTTGTTTTCCCACTAATCTGTTTCCCTCTTGCTCGCACTCGTTCGATTTAAATGGTGCAGTAGTGTGCGCCGATTAAACGTCAAAAAGCTCTATGCTTCGAGGGGTGAATCGATTAGCGTGGGACCAAAGATAGTACCAGAGCTGAGCCAAAAAGTTGAGCACGTTACTTCGGGACCTTCTAGTCATAGAGTTACCTCTATGGAATTACCATGACCTGATGGATTTTAGATAGAATTACCATGACTTAATGGATGGAACATAGAATTACCATAACCTGATGGATGTTAGATGGAATTACCATGACCTGGTGGATAGTAAAGTTAGAATTGCCATGACCTGATGGATGGTAGATAGAATTACCAACAATCAATACGAAACTAACGATTTTAAATTGGCTCACCACTTTAGTAGCCTATTGGTCCCAAGCAAACGATTAACGTACCCTATTCTAGTTGAAATTCTATTACTACACTATGTTTGTTTTGATTCGCTATGAAAGTTTGACAGATAACATCAGGGGTGTGTGGATTCATGCAGAACATGCAGGGGTGAGTGAAATAGCTTGGGACTGCTTGGGACCGTTGTTCTGGTACTGAGTGAGCCAAAAATAATAATGATTTTCTTCGGGACCCAGTGGTCTTAGAGTTACCTCTATGGAATTACCATGACCTGATGAATGGTAAATAAGAATTGTCATGATGACTGAAGAAATTTTAAATGGATTGCCATGACCTGATGGATGGTAGAGTATGCAAACAAAATTGTTAGAATTACCTGATGGATGGTAAATAATAATTGCCATGACCTAATGGTTGGTAGATAAGAATTTCCATTACCTGATGGATGGAATGAAGAAATGTTGAAATAGTTAGAATTACCATGACCTGATGGATGGACTGAGGAAATTTTTAAATAATTAGAATTGCCATGACCTGATCGATGGACTGAAGAAAAATTGAAAAAGTTAGAATTGCCATGACCTGATGGATGGACTGAGGAAATTTTTAAATAGTTAGAATTGCCATGACCTGATGGATGAAATTCCCCCGAGAGGGTAGATGAAATTCCCCGAATGGGTAGATATAATGTCCCCATTCCTTAATTAAGGAGAGTAGGAGAGGGGAAGAATGTAGTAGATAAAGTTAGTGTGGAATAAAGAATGAGTAGAATCGAGTGAGCGTGATAGACCGTATGTAAACTGAATATCATTGGTTCGAGAATTTTGATAAGCTTGCAGGTATAAATATGAAATACCTAAGCTCATTGACGGCATTCGCTGCCAGACTGTTGAGCAGTTCAGTCGATTTGAATTCTCTCTAGTTTCGTTCGTTCGCTCGCAAGTCGAATTAGCTCCGCGTTGTATAGTGACGCTCTCGCTGACCCAGCCATGGGTAAGAAATCGCGCGGTAACGCGAGTGCCGGCTTACCGGGAAAACAGACTCTCCCAGGAGACGGCGCGACCACCGAGCCAGCTCAGAAGAAGCAGAAGAAAACCCCATTGCCCGTCCCGACAGGCGTTGCGGACCCGCAGC